ATTTTCCACTCGCGCGATTTTCAACGACATGTAAAATGTGTGAAGGTAGATCGATGAGTACATCGAGCGTAAAGAGATACGTGTACCTATAGTATAATACATGCAATCAAAAAATCAGTGAAGCTCGTTGCAAAGATCGCAAAGGGAGCTTTACGTAATCGCTTAAAGCTTTTACTGTTGAAGTGAAGTTTGGTGTTGAAAATAAAAAAAATCTGATATACCCTCGGAAAAATATACGAAAATAGATTTCCAAAAAACCATCTGCTCAGAGAGTTGTCGTGCACTCGTTTTCAAGTGCAGATGAAATCGCGAATTTTTCGCATGGAAATATACCCAGAATCGCTATATGCTATATCAAGCAATATATATATGTATAATATATGTATATAGTACTAGTTAGGTTCGCGCTTGGGGGTTATCTCTCCGTCAATTTCATGATAACGTAACCTGCTAAGGTCACGTCCGATTGGTCGACCATTCCTCTCGCTTTTGGTCCATCAATCATGGCGACGCTCGGCGAACAAAATCTAAAGCTTTAAACTGGACTGCCATGGACAGATTTGAATTGCAGCTATCGCTTGTCGGATATCTATATACATATACAGGATGTATTTGATACTCTAATAATTATCGATCAGACGATCTTCCACGATAAGGTTATCTCTTTAGAGATTTGTCTTTGGTCGATCAATTATTATAGATCTACCGGAGGTATACTCATTTTTGAATTAGAGTGTACGTCCAATATGTGTATGAAACGCGATATCGCTTGACGGGCACAATTAATACTCATGCATTGGATCGCGTTAACGAGCGACAGTTTCCAAACGCGTCGAAACGTTCAGCTACGATTACTGGAAATTGGATAAACGCAAATAAGGGAAATCGAGGTGACGTCGCCGTTACGAAGTGTTGCCGGAAACGTGCGGTTCGCCATTTACCCAATCGCGGAAGCCTGCGGATAGCAGTAGCGCACTCGAAATGTTCAGTATCATTTCAATGCTCGAGGTCTGGTAGAAATAGCCGCTCCAGTTTGCTTATACGACAAATACTGTACAACTATAGGTGTAACGAATGTAGTTATACATAAAGCCAAATCCTCATGTACACTCTAATCGGCGAGGATAAAATTTTCAAAAAATTTGTCTGCAATAAAAAAAAATGTATAAAGTCAAATAAATTTCTTATTCAACAAAATTCTTCAAAATTCTTGTATTCTTGCACACGGACTGTCCTTTTCTTGAATGCCTCTCTTTCCTCCCTCCTCTCTCCTGCTCCCTTTCCCATCTACGTTCCACTCTCACAGCAATCTACCTTCCTTCAGGTCTGCCCGCGAGGGATCCCACGCGTTCGCTATCCTCACTGGACGTAGGTCGCCATTATCCCACACTTACGGCCCTTAAAGGGTCATCGGCACAGCTGTAAAACTGATCCGCTCGTTTCCGATCGGCCAAATAACCTGAGGGACGTTAACGTTAACCGAACGAGTCGTGGGTTTCTTTTGAAATTGGACGGTTGTTGCCTACGCAGGGCCAGACAAAGACCCTCTTCATTATTTGGGAACAAGAAACCTAACGAATGTTACGAGCTGGGTACCGTTAACGTAACCATTAAATTGTGAAAATCCCGCGATTATTTACGTCAATGACGCGCAGGACAGTTAATCATTTCTGTCAGATGTCGCCATGAGAAAAAGTATAGCTATTAAAATATATCAAGATCTGACAATCCCCTCGGATCCACGGATATTCAGCTGAAGCTTTTAAGCAGCGACTAAGCCATCGTTACGAATCGCGCGACACAGCCTATTACCATAATAAAATCTATGGGGATAACCGCATGACTACGTGTTTCTAGAAATCTCAAATCTCCATTCGAATAATCGGTCTTATAGTAATCTGCTGGTAATCCGCAAAGTCGCTGACCTGGTAGAGCCGGGAGGAGGATAGCGAAGCGGTATTACCGTGACTGCATTCGATATCTCCATATCCGCAGGCCTGCTGCTGGAGAGAGCCGCCCAATCGTCGCGACGTCCCCCGCGTCATAGTAACGCGAGAGCTACGGAACTCTGACCTGTATTATCCGGCAATTTGCTTATAAAATATGTAGATTGGATCTCGCGGCTTGGCTAGTACGTGGCTGGATAATGTTCGTTCGCTTGTCCGTCAAGAAGTTCGGGTTGCTGGAAAGCACTCGCTCCCTCGCTCATTCGTTCCAGTTTCGCTCGTTCGGTCGAGATGGTCGTTTGCGTAGTTTCTTGTTCCACCTTAACTTCGGCAGAGCCTTAGGCATGTCTGTACGCATACGCTGAACGATCGGTTGGATCGAAACTGTCAAACTTCGAAGAAAACTTTCCTACGTGCCTTCCCCGTGCATCGACTACGATGGCGAGACATTTGTTTCTAAACTGTTGAAATTTCTTGATGGACTGTATACCGCGTCCTTTGGAATTCAATCGTGCTTAAGACAGTCTCTGGCAAAAGAATTTATTTATAGCAGCTCCGCATAGAGAGATACAGAAAAGCAAATGGGAGGAAACGAACGTTCGTATCTTTGTTATTATCTTGGATCGCCCGATGGGACTATCTTTTCGTGCCTGAAATCTTAGGCGGAAACCGCTCGCTAGAACGATGGACTTGTATAACCCCTGGAGATGTAAGTTATTCTCAACGGGTAGCTTCGACTCCTTTGCAACACTAGGATCACGCTGTTCCCTGTGCTAATTGAACATTTAAATTGTAACATCTGTAATTAAAACTTACCTCGGCCTGCGGACGATTTCCGTTTACGAGGGGATGAAAATTCACAGTTCTTTCAAACAACTATGATTAATTTTGCCCATTTTCGCGAAACGTTACTCATGACGTTATTTATGTCTATACTTTCCGTATAATATATCTATATTCATCCTTATAAGTTTTAAATGTAATCAGGAGGCAAGTACAGAAAAACCGACAAGTAATCACGCAACGAGTCATTTCTTTTTTGCGCAACGTAATTCCGTATTGTGAGAAACATTGTTTAGTAACAAAATTTACTCAAGTTGTTAACGGTCGTATTTGACAGATAATTATCCTCCAGGGGTTGTACTTGATTTTTAACCAACATTTTAAGCCAATCTACGAACTTTCTTTTTTTAAGTACGCCACAAAGAGGGAATACAAGTTTTAACAAAAGCTTTACACCGAATTTTTATAGTATACACGGAAATTTCAGTCATTTCAGAAATGATCCAAATTAAGTCATTTTACTGAGTAACTGTACTGTACATGTATATAAGTACCTGTACATATAATATATACTATATCATTAATCTATATCCCATTATACCAGCTAGTAAATATACTACCTATAGCTGCCAGATAGCATAGGTTAACTTCGATCTGACAGTGGGGTATACAATTATAATGTGTGAATCGATATGATCCATTAGTGTGTACCAGGCTTTATCGAATCGTATCAGTCGCGCGAGGGGAGAACGTCATCACAGCAAAGTGCAAATAATGACGTTGCACTAGCGTTACATTTGTACTGCGAAGCACTAACGAAATTGCACAGACAATACCAGCCCCCTTGGCCGTTTGTCAATTTTATTTGCTTTTCGTACGTGTAGAAATTTAACGATTAAGATGCTTTTAACAAATCCGACTTTTGGACGATTAACTGTTTTTTACATTTTCTTCTTCCAAAATTTCTAGTACTTAAGAATTTTCGAAATATCTATGGAAATCCTAGTACACTTTACCAGCTTATATAAAATAGCTAATGGATTGACTGAGTAATAGTTTCTTGCTATTCGCTGTACTTACGAAAAAAACTACCTTAATACAGAGAAAGGAATCGTAGCAGAATAGCCCAGATTTCCTATGCGAGCTTAGCCATATAAGAAAGATCAATTCGACAAGTCGTATAAAACTCGTATATAGGATCCGTAGGACGGCAACGACTTCGAATCTCTGCAGTCCCTTATTTAATGGGAACGGTATAAAAATCACGTCCAACAAGGCGAATCCTTGGCTTTTCCAAGGATTTCCCGGGCAGAATGATGTAGGCAATTTAAAAAATTCAAATAAAACTTTCATCTTGCGAATCTACGAGCGGCCCTTTATTTCTTTTCAGCAAAGGCAGCCAGCTCTTTCGGTAACACCTACCATATATCTATATTCGTATTTATCGCGCGAAAACGTAAACGGGTCCAAGGAAACACCTGAGCAATATCAGATCCCCTATATCTTTGCCATATGATGTATACATACGTGTACGTACCACGTGTACATTGCGTAATCATATAGACAATCATGTAGGTGCCGGACAGCCGACAACATATGGTAATGAGTGTTACTCGATCAAGATGCCCTCAGAAATTCTCATCCGTAAATTGATGAACGTAGGTATATACCTACGTGCTATATAAATGTCGTCCATTCTGGTGGTACTTGAGTATTACGGGTTGGGAGGGTGAGAGTTCGAGAGTTCGTAGGGATGGTAAATCTGCATGGGGGTTCGTTAAGAATTCTAATGAGGTCGAACGCTATATCAGGCCACTCGTCGAGAAGGCCGAGCACTATATAGGTATATACGTTAGCACGTATAAATATAGACGAATGCTGGGAAAATTTAAGAGAGCACGAGTAAAGGAAGAGAAACTTATCTAACGTACCTAACCAAGGCGAATGAGATGAAAATGTTCCCTTTAAAGGACCATGGTAAGTACGAAGTACTGATAGGCTTGCGTGCATACGAAATTGCTGCAAGATTGAATCTCATATTTTAACTATAGGGGCATAGGCTTCTTTTGCTCATGATCACCTATCTCCGAGTAGATACGATAGGGGTCATATTTTAATTAGAAAAACAATTCCGTCCGTGTAAAAAGTAATTAGTCGTCTGCAAGAGGCCAGAATGCACGCCAGTGTAAAATGCACGTTAAATTACAGTATAAGTACTTTGACTACAGTAAGTTATAATATTGTAAAAAAAGATATATAAAAAAGACTCACCTCCTGGACCCTTCTGTGAACGCTGATCTTGTGCCACTGATTGTCATCGAATCGCACCCTTGCCGGTTTTATGTGAAGATCCAGTCGGCCGTTAGCCAGTGTCATACCGACTGCAGCACCGCCGTCTCTTAAAGATATCGTCAAGTAATCGCCACCCTCTCCTGCAAGATAAGAAACGGTTTATACTCGCAGAGGTGAACTGTCCACTTAACCGATTCGTAAGTATTATTACTGTCGGTAGAGGAAACAACAGCAGGGGGTCACGCGGCGGCTCGACTCTGCGGTAGAGAAGCGCAGGGGTTGGCGGTACTCGGGAAGGAGGAGAATTGCGGAAATAAGGGTGGAAAGTGCAGGGCACGTGGCTGCCGTTCGTTATAACGCAATTTCCATTACAGTAACAGTAACTTTTAATGCGATTGTAAAAATAAACTGGGTGCTGCCCTGTCTTAATCCGCGCTCCCATTATAATTCACCCCCCTTGCCCCTAGCGAGATAATCCAACCGGCTTCGCACTGTCCTCCGCTGTCTCTATATATATAGGAACGGTACGAAGTCAGCGACTCGATAATTATTAACGATACAGCTGCCGGTTAACGTTAACAAGCCAATCAGCCGAATTGGAACGTAGACGACAACACTGATCGCAAATTCCTATTTTCACAAAACCACCCCGTACTGGCTACGATCTTAATAAGGGTAGTAAGCCGACCAGTACACTGCAGACCTATACACTTAATTTAACGACGTCACTCGGTATACTCATTATTAATACTGATTTCCCTTTGGATCCATAACCTTACACAACATGGAAACCACATTGCATTCGCTGAATTCTCAAAAGGTATCAACGTTTATTAATATTTTTTATGTAGAAAAATTAATAATTTTGTCAATCTGCCATTCTGGATTATCAGTGCTCGTTCCGATCGCTATCCAATCCCATGACTCTAATTATACCGTGGCCAGTTAAAGGTGCATCCACAGTGGCGTACGTCGTCTATGTAAAAGAGGTAGACGGTACTTTAGACTTAATTGCCGTAGTACGGCAGTTTCCGCATAGCTAGCGGTTACTACGGGGTGGCGCGTACGTACGCCCACAAAAAGGTGGATGATAATACGCGTATTATACGTCGTTGGGACAGCGGCGCGTGCTATAACGGAGAAAGATCAACGGTTAGAGAAACTGCAAGTAGAAGTTGCAGTGGCTGCTGCAACGCTTGAACCGTATTGCCCAGTCCGCATTGCCGTTACGTGTACACCGTTCTACTTTGCTGTGTGCAACCGCTGCAGTAGCTATACTACACCCCAGCTGCTCATTTATTCTCAGGATAAACTACCCATTTGGATTACGTGTGCAGCAGCATTGTATAAGGAGCACCCACTCCTATGCGCATCCCCTTCAAGATCACGTCATCTAATGAATTGTTTTTTCCTGCGGCGACCTTACTCACTTAACTTTTGTTGTTACAAAAGATTCGTTCATTTTTTATCTAACTTTTTATCATGACTTACGATACGACGTACGCCTTGAAAGTTCCCTTTATTCATTACGGCATAGATAGTTTGGGGTTAATGGGGTATGTCTTTGAAGGCATTTCAAGTGCCACTGTCAGGTTGTATCACTGTATATACGTTCGGTAGAATATGTTTGACACATGTGATTACGTAAATTATTGCTGTTACTTGTGTGATGTATGGCGTTCACAGAACAAAAGCGCCGACTCGCACGTTACTGTCAATTGCGTAGGGTTGAATAAGGGGTGTACGTTTAGTTACTGTTAGATGGATTAGTCTGTAGGTCTGGGTAATTCTACTGGCCTTGATGTCGTAAATTATGGGAAGGTTCATTCTTACAAGCTTAGATGGTTGCGATGTAGGTGGCAGCACTATTAGATTTAATATAACAACTTTAAGTTATATGTATTCTTTAAGGGTATGCAAATACACAATCGTTTATCTGGACAATAGACGCATATCAAACAATGTGGACAGTTTCGCGATATTATAGTTAATGCGAAAAGTTCGCTACTTGAAAATTCGGTCAATGATATTCGTCGAACCTATATGCTTACGTTTATCTTGTTATAACGAGCAATCGTTGCCGAACGATTCTGCTTACGAATACAGGCAGTACGAGTATTGTGTTTCGAACCTGAATAGAAGAGAAGTCCGTTTGGCTGTCTGGTCTTGAACTGTAGACTGATAGACTCTTGCGTACTCAGAATCGGATCCCCTTTGCTCAGGTCGATCGTTAAATATTCAGTCCCTCTGAAGGACGCTTCCGAGGGTGCTTTGTCTGTAACAGAAGACAAGTATATTCGTAATAAAATTATCATTATAAATAACAACGATAACTACGATAATAATATTATCTGTAGATATTTCCTGGTGAACCCTGTTATAACGACTGAAGCAGCCATATTTGAATTTTAAATTCCAGCGTTCGATTTGTCTCGGAGAATTCTAAGCCAATTCGACCCTAAAATCCATCGGGACGTCGAATTGGACCGCTGTGAGATTTTCACCCCATCTCCCATCCAGGACCACCCTCCTCCTCCCCCTCATTATTTCCTATCTTCCCATTGTTATCAGACGACCAAACAAAAGTGCACCCACCCTAGAACAAAAAGGCCATAAGATGGCTTAATGGCTTTGGCCCGTCGCCAAAGCACGGGAAAGGTTGAGTGCGCGGAGATGTCGATTGAAATTTTCATTACTTTCGCAAATCATCCGCGACCGCCGTGAAATTTTAGCCTCTTTCTCAATGAGAATCAGATACCATCCTGTCGGAAGAACAAAGGCTTCGACCAATAAAATAAGACGATTGGTACCGATCGACTATGTATATATAGTAAAAGCGTAAGCTGCAATGATCGAGAGAAAGAAAAATATTTCCTTAAACAGACACACAACTAGATCTTATAGTCTATACTCTCTACCATATAACTTTTATGTATCATACATAGTATACTATAGTATACTTGCATAAACTTTATGTAAAATTTCCAATACTGCGTTCGTGCTTATTTCGCCCAACAACTGATTAGGTATAGCGTCACGCGAACTTTCCTTTAATTAGGCACATATATTGTCCAGCAGCGTATAAGCAGGTAATCTAATTTTTTTTACGAGAACACAGTTTTCTACTAACGGAGGACTGCGCCATCATGACGGTCTATCTGGATCAACCCTCTTTACTAGATTTCCGCTTTTCCGTTCGATGTGTGTGACGTTCACAGTACGTGCATGTAGCGAGTATTGGTAAGTCGTGAGAACCTTTAGCATCGGCAACCTGGAAAGGCTATTATTTTACTCTTATATATATATATATATATAATCTACCTTCCTTCATCTATACAACTATGCGCATACGTTGGCAGCACATGTATGTCATTAGATGCCTAGAGAGACAAAGTAGCAGAATTACGTCCTCGCAGTTTCCATCCACGCTGTTAGCCATGGTACATCACTGTGATGAGAGAAACTGCACTAATAAATTTAAGTAACAATTTAACAGCATTAGAAACGTAATTACTACAGTGTCGTCCTGCGTTCGTTTCAGGATATATACATATGTATAGTATCCAACTACAGTCACGTCAAAGTAAAAAAAAATAGAAAATAAAACAATTTATATACAGACACTGCAAATCCAAATGTGTCATTCCCTATTCTTTCTATGGTAGTCACTTTATAAACACTTACAAGTGTGTTATCCTCACCTGGGAATATGCGGAATCAATACACATGGAAGTGTGTGAAGAGCGACTACCATAAATAGGATAGGGAATAAAACACTCATACAATTCTCTGTTAGCATATCGGACTATGAGAACTTAAAAAAAACCACAACATTTATCGCTGATACATTTTGCGAAAATCATTAAAAAGACTCGTTAACGATTTTCCGCGTGTCACGTAATTGGCTACGCGATACAGATGAAAGAGATGCAAAGTATCATTAATGCTACTGGTATGCACGATGTGATAATTGCTGTATTATATAGTCCACGTGTATTAAGCTCGTAGCAACGCGCCATTACTACTGGCACGGTAGGTACTTCCTGTGAGCAGGTAGGTAATAACATATACAGGTACACGGGCTATCGCCATTGCAGTACATTGCGACACTGTTGGTAACAGTGTTTTAGATTTATCGAACACCCTATATGTAAATAGATGGCAATTCGAAGTCGTTTTCGGTAAAATTGTGTGGTTCAGTCTATATAAATTTAATTAATAGAAATACAGTAAAATTATACGTTACTCCCTCGTCAATATTTTGACATTGGTACATGTTAATCGATATGCAGGACATTTCATAATACAATTCTGCTAAAAAAATTATTCCTGGGAGATCGTTACTTTATGAGGTCATCTTATGTGTGTAGATTGTATGAATATGTTATATCGCACAGTACCACCCCGTATGTAAGAGGGTTACTAACATATACTGTATTACGCGTTCGAATTAAGCACCAGCCATTCATTAGGAACCTAGCAGTAGACCGTCATTACCTTGCTCTGCTTGTCTCCTGCCTCTTGTGCTCAAATACGTAGCAGCATACTCAGATATGTAGTATGTACACTTCCTATCCATCTGTCTATTTGGTTACGATTCTGAAGCAGTGGTTCTCAAAGCCGCCTGAGCACGCACTGGCAATCAGTCTAACTCTAGCTTTGTCGTAAATCTCTAGTACCATTGTTGGATACCGTGATATATAAAACAATGGACGAAGCAATCTCGACCGCCATTCAAGGACGTAGCTACAGTTATAGACTTTTAAGTCTATGAAAGGAGAGACGTAGAAATTTTAAGAAGAGAAATTGGCACATCGATTCTATTCTCTTTATTTATATAGACTCAATGATGAGTGTAATATACTAATATATAGATTAAAATTAATGTATAGTACATATTATAAAATTATAAGAATACATATTATAAGAAAGTTTATTAGTATTAAAGTTTTGAGAAATATTTCTTAGAGGTATTTCATTAATTACAATATTCTTTCATAGACTGCCTGCCTGTTTAGGAATTTGGCACTTGGAATCTTAACGAGACAGGTGCTCGTCTCTTGATATTTCTATACTTGACTCCACATTTTCAAAATCTCTCGAATTCCGATAGTTTTCGAATTTCTTTGAAAGAGGATGAATTGGAGGAGAGTTTTAATTATATATATATACATATATATATATACACATATATGCTACGTAGGTGAATGTGCAGTAATAAAAATCGGAATGTCCTACAACGTAGTCAAATTTACTGGACGAGATTCCAATATTCCTTCTTGGGTTTCAGCTAGCAGGCAAAGTATCTATACCAAGAGACTGTCGGTAGTGCTAACGTAAATACCTAGTGGTAGCCACCCTTATCTCAATACACTGTTCTATACCTGTGCTCACTACACTTAGGAACGCTTTCATGAGTATCTACCGCCGCGACGAGTCTCTGCTTTCTCAACCTAGAGTACAGAGCTTGTAGGAACAATATAGTAGCGTCTATCGGCCATTGTGGAACGTGTCGCGTCTGCCAGGAAATGGCCACATCTACTTACGTACTTTTCGCAACGCTATTCAGACAAGACGTATGGCTTAGAAACTGTATATTCTTGGCTTTAATGTCGTAAGTTGACTCGAGGGAAAGATCTCGAGCACAGAGAGTCACCACTGTCTGTGATAACTTCCGCGTGTAAGGCCATCCCGATTGACATGGTAGAAAGCGCAAACAGAGTCGAGACGAGACGTCAGCCATTTTACGCTTTTTTTTTTACTGTCGTAACGCATCTTTTATTCGAGCTACGTATAAGGAAGAAAAGAAAAATATCCTTTGCTCTTTCTAAAAATCTTTAAGTCCTTACCTCAAAGGACGAAAGCTGTAAGAGGTTAATCAGTGCGATTCGACTGGAGATCAGAGAAAGCATAAAAACGTCATTCAAAAGAAACTGGAGATTATTTTGGAAAAATGTAAAATCTAAAATTTTCAGATGAATTTCATTTTCTTACATCAAAAAGTTAGTTTCTATAGAGTATATTAGACACTTAATATCTATACTGAGTATAAGGACACTTGTCATGTGGATCGACGTGAATACTCTGGAGAGTCTACTGTAGAAACGATGAACAATGCCGATGACTACGACGACTACCAGGATGACAAGGACCAGCAAGACGACGAGGACGTAGTATCTCCCCAGGGATCCGGTTAGGTCTTGGCATCCTCAAAATGGCGGCGTGTTAGGTCGCGGTAGACGCGAGGCAAAAGGGAAGTGCAGAACCAGTTCAGGGTAGTTTCCGGTGAGCGATGTCGCCGCCACGTGTCGACGTGACGCAATATACATGCTAATACGATAGCTTAGGTAGTCCACGAGGTGGCTCGACTACAGCGGCTGCTGAGCAGCTGGTAAAATGTCCTGAGTCTGTAAATTCTGGATCGATGCAACGATTGGTCATTCGGTTACTATCGTTACTCGACTGTTTTATTCCATACTTGTGCCTACCTTATGTGGAAAAACATTGCATATACATATCCACCAGTCATACCTAATTCACCTACTATAAATATACGTATAACCTATATAGCAGTCGTATATTCGACTCACGTAGTACCTAGGTCACGTATTTAAATGCATCGATGGTATTTCTTTACCTGCCAATATCTGCCTGTCAAGCATGTCTCTGCTGCCTTTCCATGAAACTGCAGTTCATGAAATGGCTAGAGAAATGCCGCAATAGACTGCGTGCCAGACAATACTGACCTATACCTACTGACCCTATTTCATATACACATATATGTACATACATATATAGTATATACCCGAGCCCCGGTGCATGTCCTCCGGGCATTAAGAGTTCTGATAAGGGAGAAATTGTCGTTCCTAGAGGTTAAGTTAGCGCATCCCGAATGTTTCCATATCCTTTATATTTCATGTCTAGATAAATGATCTTGTGTCTTGCAATAACGTCATTGGAATTCTTATTGCCTAACACTTAGGATATTAAACAACACAGATATAGACTCTATCGATCTTTATTGATGATGAATCTTGATGCCACCATTTTTTTTTTGTCAATAACGAGAAGAATTCAAGGATGAAAGAATGATTGGGATCCTTTGAAAGGATAATGGCGGTTGAAGAGAAGCGTAGTGGCAGACACGACGTGACGTCACAGCAGAGGTGAACCACCCCAGCTTCACTGCGGTAGCCGCAAATTGTCAGAGGGATGGTGGGCAGCGCCGCTGCCACTCAAACAATATTACTTTTGCCCACATACCATCTACCATGAAACTATAAACATTATATATAGGGTGTTCAGATTAGCTTAGCTAGCTGGATCCAATTTTCTCTTGTGATGATAATTTTTTTTTTACTTACACTAATCAACATGGAGAGGTCCTGGTAATTGTTAATCGTATTAATCGCGAAAATTGTATCCTTCGTAATTTTATATACAATTCATATAATAATAACAACAATGCATTCAGAAAAACTACGAAACTACAGCAACCTCAAGGAATGGTAAGAGTATACCAAATATGTAATGGAATACAGAGTTAGGCCGAGCAGGTCCTTAATTTCGTAGATGGTATTGCGTCAACAATGTTAAGACACTAATTTGCATAGCACACCAGTACTGATAAATTCCTTCCCTTTGACTTGATACGCTGGACTGCCATTGAATTTCCTGATTTACCTAACTACTGTGGGGACTTGCTCGTAATGGATCGCATTAAGATTTGAATTAATATCTTTAAGTTGGTCGCAAGTTCAATTCCACTTGGTGTTATGTAGTACGTCATTGTAATTTAAGACCGAAACTGTTTCAGTTATGTACCCAAGTGCATCACAGGGTGTTATAGAAGGGGGTTTGAAAACTTTCTCAAGCAGTCGGGGTACGATTTATCTAGCAGTAGCAATGTCTACGTCAAAAACTTAATTAGTCGACACTGGTGGAATATCCTGTATCTCTCTCTCTCTCTCTCTCTCTCTCTGTATCTCTCTTGTACTATCTCTATCTCACTGTCTCTGAAAGGAGTCCACAAGGAACATCTGCAAGGCAACGCAATAAAATAACCGTTTATAATCTACGTCTCTACCCTTTGACCCCCTCTTACCCCGTACCATTCTCACGACTCCCGACCCCGTCCCACATGCAGCATAAATCCCGGCTTGAGAATATTACACGTTTCCTAGGAACTTTAACCCCTGCTTGGCTAAAGTGTTCGCCTGTTATCCTGAGTTGCACCCGAAAAGCAGCGGCTTGCGAGGAATGAGCGCGCGAGAGAGAGAGAGAGAGAGAGAGAGAGAGAGAGAGAGAGAGAGAGCAAGGGAAAAAAGGAAGATGCTGGGGAGTAAGGGGTGTTGTCGCAGGGTACAACGGCTCACGTAGCAGGAGCGTCGACTTTTCTTTCGCCCGTTTTGTCCGAGAGAAAGCAGCGAGAGTTCGCAATTACTGGAGTAGCAAAGCAGAAGAAATACGACGCAACCCCCTGAAGAGGGTGTTTAACGATAGCGCGCATGCGCGTCCGCGAATGACGACGCCAGAGGCAACGCGAGTCAGAAAGAGAGGGAGGAAAGAATAGTGGAAAAATAAAGGGAGGGAAGGTGCGAAAGAAAGGGGAGCATCTCGTGAGGATTTTAAAAATAAATTATTAGGGTAGGTATGGGATGATATTTTTTTATGGCGATGATTAATTATATACTTTAGGTAATTACTTACATGATTCATTATCAATGAGATATCACGTGCCTGTAAGCCTTGAATAATATAAGCGATCATACGTCATTCTTATACCGGTCCAATTCGTATACAGTAGCATCAAATAATACATATAGCTAGATGAATGTAGCTTATCTACGCCGAATTAATTATGACGAAATTTAGATTAGTAAGTATAGTGAAACTCACTGTAATCCCATGCCCAGTAATCACCAGCACCCGCCGTGGGCAGCACCGTGCTCCATGCTTCTACGCACAGCACAAAACAGAAAAAGGAGAACGTAAAAAAATGAACCATGCTTTTTTTCACTTCCTTTTCTTTTTGTAATTAGATATAAACTTATCTATGTGTATACACAGGATATTCATGGGGTTTTCGTTGAATCCTCCCACCGTCTTTATCGAATTTTTAAATAATTTTGCCGCTTTTTATCTTTGCAGCGCAGGATATCGTAAGGAGTCAGAAATTGTGAAGTATTAATTTGTTGTAGGATATAAAAAATTACGAGATTAGTTAACTAGGCGCGTTTGGAAAAGGCTTCTTTCGCCCCAGGGCTGTAACTATATATGGCGGGAGAATTCAAATGAATGACTGTAAGTACCAGATTACCGTAAAACAAACGTATCACTGTTACCTGTTTATTTTTATCTTCAAAAGGGTCCGGTTACTCGTAAATGTTATATTTAACGATCTCATTTTTTTCACTTGGCTAGTATTACACAATACGTATAGTCTATCGGGACTAATGATTCCGATGCAATTAGACTTGCACGTGTTTATACGTACGCCCATGTTTCCAGGGATTAAACCGCCGATGAGAATGATCGATTCTGAGAATGTACATTGATGGCAAATGGGTTGGGGAACGATAGTGTAATTTACCGTGTTCAAATGTGGCTAACCGATTGCCGGCAATTTCCATTTTACATAAATTACAATTTATACATAAATGCTTGCAAAAGGACAATAAAGTAATCAAGATATCAAGATAAATAACAAGTCGATAAATTATCGGTAAACCGATTATTTTTTAATTAATATTTTCTAATTAAATGTATATGTATACGTTTGCCTAAAAGTTATTGCGGGGGGCAATTACTTCAATAAATCGAACACTTTAAGGATACGTGACTGTTTCGGGTTCCGATCTTCAAAAATTCCAGTTTAGGGGCTGGTTTTCGAACTGGTCACAAAATATACACTCTCAAGCAATCGGCCGATTTCAAGACACCCTGAATTTGTCATTTTGGGATACGTCCTCAGAAATATTACCGGTAAATTCAATTATGAGGCTGATATGAGGATCATCCTCGAAATATACACAAAACGTAATATTCGGATATATTCTAGAAGGATTCTTTCTTCTGAAATGAAATCATTGTCCTCAAATTAGCCAGTAGCCAAAACTAATGACCTGATAATGAGCATTACTTTAATTCACTCTTCGTATTTTCATTTTGTTTCGTATAATCTCTTCGAGGGCCTACAGCACTTTTTTCTTTCATTAACCAGGACAATCATTTTCGCATACGCTTCATTCTTGCAAACAAGAAGCAGCTAGCAGCTCTGTGAACTTTTCAAATTTTCAGAAAAAATGGAAATGCATAATCAAATTCCAGATGTATACGTTCCACGTATTCGTCCATCTAAGTAATACTTATTTTCTATCGGCAGAAATAGTGGATAAAACTTTAAATATGAAATTGCGTTGCCGCTTCATTTTCTATGTGTAACATTGAACTAATATATATGTATACATACATATATAAAAATATATAAATTATATATCAAATATATATGAAAAATATATATATGTATACAATTTTATGTATTGTATATATACCAGGTGATTCAGCTCAAACGCACCACCTGAAGTGATCTTCCCATAAGATCTAAATGGACGCGCAAACTTCAGGTGATACGTTTCTACTGAATAACTCTGTATATATATATATATATATGTACATACAAATTTCACCCGTATCTCTATTAACATTTTTTCACTACTTCTTAAGGCTTGCTGACACTTGTCGCCAGCATTGGAATTTCCATGCGAATTTTTCACTGAACGTTAACTGCATCTTATTACCAACTCTCCTTCAGAATTCCAACTGCCTCGTGAATGCAGCTACATATGTATATCTATATGTATAACCCAGTGGCAGCGAATGAAGGCAAAACTGGATGCAGAACTGGGTCGGCAATCAAGCGTCTTGCGAAGAGAGTTGCATTCGCTTTCACCTTTTGCATCCCCGATTTCTGCATTCCACATTTCTCCTACGCTCCATTATACATTAAGTGAATTTTTCATAAAGTTTCTGTATTACCAAGTTTCTTTAATGTTGGAATCGAGCGACACGTATCCCGTATATTACGCCACCCTATAACCTGACATATATTATACCAACGATTCGCAAAATCTTTGTAAACAGCGTTAAGGCCGTAATTAGGAAAGAAACCAACATTAAGCATTAATCTCATGAATATCGCAAGTTATACGTTTTACGATGATCGCTCGGTAAATAATGATTCCTTAGGGGACAATCGAGCGTAACGTCGATGCACGCTTATTTGAGCGACGAGGTAATACACGTTAAATAAGTATCCATGTATATTGCATAAGCGATGGATAAGGTTGATTCTACATAGAAACCTGCCATTATAGTAAAGTCAATATGGAACTTTAAAGTAAATAAGAAAAGCATAACATATGAACATCTGTATTATTCTACGTCGATTCACCGTTCAAACTTGAAGGAGCTTAGAAATTTGTCCTTATTTTCTTTTAAATGTCAAGTCCTTCAACTTTTCAATTACTGTTGCTAATAATTTCGTGATATGGAAACTACGAGGATTATTTTTCATTTTGATAAAGAATTATTAACAGACGTACAAAAAACGAAGTTGATTGCGTGCTCGAAAAAATTTAATGAGTGAGAAATTTGAATTCCTTTTGCAAAAATGACGAATAGCATTGGAATTATTTGAAATACTTTTTTTCGTTACTCAACTTGCCTACGTTTCGTATAATGACGTCAACACTCATCAACATACGGTTGACGATAATCAAGCACGAGAAGGTTATCCAGAGTTATGCTACTTACTATGATACCGGTGGCATAAATTACGCTGTATACATAACGCGAAGTACGGCGAGAGTCAGGCCTCTGGTGAAACACTCCTAGGTGGTTCAGGTTCGCACGTCGGAGCGCGTGTTCTTGCATAATCATATTCCGGAAGTGGTTGTCGATTAAGAACGTCTGGAAATTGCGCTTCCGATTTGGATACACCAGCCATTCGATGAATTCGCTTCATTTTATATTTATGCAATAGTAGATTCGACATAGTGTACATACGTATATACCGAGAGTATATAAAATCGCATTAAATTAGAGAAATTGCATTAAAATATTTGAATAAAATTTTTCTTTACCTTAAAAAAGTAATATTACGAAAACAACGTCATTTTTTATAAAGTTATAGTTACATTAACGTTTGTCTGTTTATTCGATCCGTTACCTTCGTTCTACTTTACCGACTGAGCAGACTAAGAAGGTTTGGCTACGTTAGCGTGGCTCTCTTTTCCGACCTCCCTTGGTATCTTTTCTGATCCTCCTCGTCTGCTTTCTCCACAGTCATTAGGCTGCCATAATTGCATTAGATCGTATATAACAGAATCCGCAGGCAAAGAGCGGCAACTCGTGAAAGAGAGCCGTTAACTTCTGGGTCAAATTAAAATAAAATTATCCTCGACTTCCGCGAGATTGGCCGCCGCATACCGTAGTCCTACGTATCGCGTGATTGGAATACGACTACTTTTGATTCGTCAAAGGATTCAATTTATTTCCAATTATTCTCTATTATTGAAATTCCCTTTCTGTATGTATTAATTCGTGAAAATTTCCATTTCTGGAAATCCGATGAGTGGTCCTTTTCCTATATTATATTTAAATCTACATCGTCTGATGTAGTTTTCCTGAAGCATTCATTCTTGAAAAAGTTTTCCAAGTGCTTTCAGCATATATTTTCTTTATTTTTTTTTCCCTTCCTGTTAATGCCTTTCGTCTACCTCGCACTACGCGGAATAAGAGGGCTGAAATATGGGCCGCTTTTAAATTCTTCAGAGTGTCAGTCGTCGAGGGTCTGCAGATTAGCGTGAATCCCTCTTTTCAATTGAATTTGAGCCTCGAGGCGCCCTTGCTTAATGCCGCTAAAAGTAGGGATATTCCGGTATCCCTTAAACAGTAGGGCCAAGGAGAGGAGTGCGAAACGAAAGGATGTTACCTCTATAGTGACCTATAGAGCTACTTAGGAGAGAAGCGATCCATCAAGGGTACACATCGGCAACGTGTTACTCGGTAACGTACGTAACTCTGTGTACCCAGGTGCTTACAAAAAAAAGCCATTTCTCCTATTAACTGATCTCCTACGTGACACAATGTGAATATATTTTGACGGATGAGACGGTACTCTACTATGCATGGAATCTTACGTAATTTTATATAGTATATCCGTATACGTATTTCCGATCGAAGTCAGGTAGCTACTACCATTTATCAGGGATGGTGAAATATTATGTCACTAATTTTTTTCAAATTCTTCGATCGAGAGTTAGGGGTTGAGGCATTCTTGATCTTGTTAAAAACTTAAAATTACACGAAGTTCAAAGGAACAATGCGCACGCGTAAGCCTAAGGGATGTGGTGCAGATACAGGGGATGAAACAAAAAAAGAAGAAACGTTCCAGGACGAATATTAAATGAATCGCAGGGCCAAGATATAGGTACCCTCGCAAAATCCTGGCCTGCCGAAGGGAGGCATAGATATAGGGGTGGGTATAGGAAACAGGCATCTCGTGCGACAGGGTGATAAATCTTATGCAGTCTCCAGCATAAGTACCAGTAGGGACGACCTATATATTATAAAGGCCTTAATAACATAAAGGAGTATTGTTGTAAAAATTATTAAAAATCTTCAATTATCTTAATTAAAAGAACTGCGGTAATTATTTTTAAAGTCAAATAAATTGGCTTATAGAAATTGCATGAATATTTACCTTTCGATAGCCGAAATACACGACGTCAAATTAACGCGGCAAGTATATCAGTGTTGTGGATACTATATTATTCTCACCGGGTATATGTCATAAAAGGGTCAATCTCTGTGATACTTTGCACGTACAAAGATTACGTACCTGCCAGGAACATATCAAAATTTCAGATTGGTTACTTGGATGCTGATGAATTTGTATCTGGGTCTTTTCTAATTTACGAGAATCCCTCGTGGCGCGATGTGGAATAGATTAGCTAAATGTATGGCACTATGTACGGGTGTCAACAAATGGGATATGAAAGACAAACGAGTGTTCGGGTTAAAGTGCCACGTCTTCGAATAATATAGATATGTAGAACCATGAAATATCTGAGAATAACGTAACGATATATCCCACCACCAAAAAGGCTTAGTGTAACCCTAATTCACTTAATTGAGATTAATCGCACATCCCCCCCAAAGAACACTTTCCCCGATCCAATATTTGAATTTTGATTACCCAACAAAAAAGATATCTTAATGCTCCTAAGCCGCATAATTTATCAAATAACGATATGAAATAAATCATACGTTATAGTTGTGCCTATGACTGTCTTACCTTTCTCGCAGTAAACACCCTCGTAGTCTCCAGTGCGACATTCGCAAATGGGGCCGCTGTCAGTCGAGATGCAAATTCCGCCGTGTTGACACGGATCACGCGTTTCGCAAGCGTCTGTCGTGTTAGCCGTCATCATACTCCGCAAGCTCTGAAACACACATTGAACGAAAGCTTAGTAATAATAACGTCAGCAGGTAAATGCGTGAGGTTGACCAAGGACATAATACCATAGTGGCAGTAGATACGGAAGGCGTCGGCTCGGGCAATTAAATGAAGTGCGTGACGTCTAGTCACGATTGTACGAATTCGTTTTCAGATATATACAGGTAAAAAAAATTGGATGAGAAATCGATTCGATCAACAGCCTGAGAGCGGGAGAGGAATCCTGTTTATCCTATGGGACCGGGGGGGGGTACTCGTATCCTGGTAAAATCGAGTTGGATATCCTGGGGGGTTGCAGGACGAAGCTTCCTGGAGCAAGGAAGATGTATAAAATGAGATAAGAAAGATGAAAGTTTTGGTATCTATCTATATATATATAGTACGTATACAAAATACAGAAAGCGAAGAGAATAGATGTGGTGAGATATAAAGATTCCAGCATCTTGGTTCATCTTGGGCCCTGGGCCAACTCAAGAACGATAGTTTGGTCACAATAATAGAACATGGCGATGCGGTTGACCTCCTGACCCAATACGTGGATCTTCCTCGTAACCTCTTTTAACTAGCTCACTAGTAGATAATATCTGCGAATGAACCAGACAGTGATAGTACATACGTACCTACGTCTGATGCATCAAAATGTAATACTCGAGGAAAGGCGCAAGACGTACATCGTATTAGAAATTAATCGTAAATATGACTCGACTCACTGGTGCATAATTTCACGCGATTCCTATCGAGCTATTTCCTTTATATTTTATTACTATTTCAGGCGAAATACTTCTATCTGCAGTATACGCGCGCGCCTTACCGATAACGGATTCAGAGCACAGCTCCGGCACGGCGACTCGTGGATTCACCTCACGTCAAGACAATCAATAGCGACTGTTCGTGGGAATGTGTATTCACGTACATCTAACCCCGAGCAGATACAACCCTGGTACAAACGTTCCTACTGCGATGCATTTTTTATTGGCACTCGTATATATACAAGGTAACCGCGAACTTTGACTTCCTAACGTGGGGTGGTCCTTCTACTTTACATTGTGCTTTCCAAGTTCGTCCCCGAGACAAATTGGACAAATCAACCCCTAACTTTTGATTTATCGCTACAGAAATCCTAGGGGGTTCCGACTATCCGGAGTTAGAACCGAACAGGTTTGACTACCTTCGTATAGGGGTGACATTCGATGTGTCGATATATATGGTACTAGATGACGCAGTCTCACAGCTGCGCTCATCCTTCAGCCGACCGGAAAGCGAAAACTGCGTTATCTCAAGAGTCGTTACACGTGTCTCATTACGTATCCATACGTATAGCTGAACTCATACTATGTGTATAGCTGAACCGGAAGCCTGAACTCCTGTGGGATATTGTTTGGACGCACTTTGTTATATGTGAAATTTTATATAGGGAGACCGAGGGAGGGAATGAAGTTCTTACGTATCTTTGAATCCAGTGCATGCTGGGTACTCAAGTTCTAACTGTACGGATCAGTGTAGTTACGCGTCTTTGTGGGTATAAAGTTTGTCGCAGTATGTGAATTTATCTCTGAGCGATAACAACGGACACCAAGAGAAGATCCTAACTTAAGCTTCGAAGTTCCAGCATCAACACGCGTACCTTTAGCCAAGTTCTTCCATCGCGGTATACGTAGCGCCAACGTGCCAACTTGCGACAAGTTGCCAGGAAGATTCTGAAGTCGGGCATAAATATTGAACTTTCTCGCTCGCAGTACGCCGGCTTAATTCACCCCTCAAAGCGTCCCTGTACGGCGTCACATCACGTATCACCTTTCAAGATTTTTCTACTGCGAGTCCTACGTCAGGAGTTTGACTTTTCTTTTTCCCGTCTAATATTTGTCTTTTGTTTTTTCTTTTCTTACTCAGCCCGCCCCCTCCTCTCTTATTTCTAAAAAGTTTTCGTTACCGAGCGTCGCGGCGTATCGGCGTCTCTCGTTATAACACGATGGATTAGCTACCGCGGAAGAGCAGTACGATCGTATCGAAAATGTAATTTGCTCGAGCTCGGCCGGACGTCAATTAGTTCTAGGGAAAATTTCATTAACAATCCGTATGAAATTGCGCTCTATGTAGAAGTATGATTAATGTACCAGGAGGTGTGTGCGGACCGAAACGGTCCAGTGGGGTTGCCATATTTCTCTTTTCGTATGTGTAACACGTTTGTTACCATCCACCGTGTCGGATACCTTCCATTGCCACCTGCTTTATACTTTCCTACGTTTTACATACGTATATATATGTATATACATCCGTGAAAGGAGGCGTCTCTTGTAATAAAAGCCACAATGGACTTAGGCATGAGTTATTTATCTATATACTCTCAAACTGTTCATCGATACTTTTGCTTTGTAATTTATAATGGATATGGTCCTAGTGACGTGCTTAAGGAAAAATAAGGGCTGAACTTACGAGCTGGTCTAATTTTAGATAAATTCCATAAAACAGCATTCATGAAATATTGGAAATTTAATTTCAAAGTCAAACACTGTTAACCAATACTGTGGTATTGATCTTTTTTGTGTCTGTACTACGCATAATACCTATATCGTGAAATTGTTTAATCTGGTATGGAAATTGTATATTTTGCGTGAATAATGATTACCAATGTATTTAACGTTTGATTTACAATTGATTTGATCCACAAGTTATTTAACCTAACCAAACGAGATTAATAATACTACATGTGTGGAAACACCTTTCGAAATATTGCCATACCGCAATATGTCGGACATGCGTACAGTCGAGTCATGACATACAGGGTTTGGTAAAAAAAAAAAAAAAATTAAAGTTATAGGTTGGTAGTGGCGTTTTTTTTTTAAATGGCTAAATCGTTTGCTCGAGAATGCAAAAAAATGGCTTGCAATTATTTCCGAGCATTATAAGTACAATCAGACGAATCAGCCTAACTTTGCAAACGCCGCGAAAGTGAGGTTGGGATTTCCGTAATTAGTCGTGAGTACGGCGAGTGCGTCTGATGTATGAAAAATTCTGTTTCACCCTCGAATTTCCTCTTTTTCGCAGCTGTTAATTTAAAATGAACGACCACTGGGATGCCATTGGGTTGAGAGTAGCTTAAATTTATATTCGCGTATTGGGTATCTCATGAATTAGGAACAGTACGAATACCTTGGTTATTTTTGATTATATAAAAATACTACAACCAGTTCAAAGCAATCTGTGTACTTTGACAGTTGGTAAGCATTTCGTCCCTTATTTTTACATAGGCAAAGAGGATATAGTCGTCATGTATGACGTTGCTAAAGAGTGAAAATAATTTTGGAATTTTTATAAAAGGTAATATTAAATTTTATTTAGAACCACTTTGAGACTCTCCAACATAGTTTATGTTTTACGAAATTATAATCTTGTAACATTTTAGCTATCGTAAAAACTATGTGGTTAACAGCCATTAATCAAGCGTGTTATGGAATTTTCGAAAGTGCAGCGTAAAGACTCAAAGGATCCATATACACAGGAAATGCCGTGTCGTGGCTACAAACTATGCAGGAAGAATAGTTCCGTAAGTATGCTCAGCATCGCATAGTTGCAGGAACGACACCCGCCATATAAATCAGCCGATCTAATTTGTAGTAAATCAAGTCCGCAATGTAAGCAGAAAGTGCTGGATAACATTTTTTAAAACCTTCAGAAAATTTTTGCTAAACAAAATCCCAACTATTGCCGATACCTGTCGATATTGAAAAAAAATTTCCGACATAAAAATTTCCAACGAGATCCCACCAAAAAATCTCAACTACTCAAAACACGCAAATATTCCAATTTAACGTTCTGGACATCTTACCTTCCCGAAAATCCTCGCTTCACTCAGCATCAACCCTTGGACGGTTTTCCGTCTGCCACAGTTGATGGAAAACTCGTCGGAGGGCAGCACCGATAAAATAAAGTGAACTTGCCTCGTCATGGTTGTTACGCCGCATGTTCTCCTACGATCATCCTTTTCTATCATTTCGTCCTCTGTCTCAAGTTCATCGTTTCCTCCCACATTTTATACCAAAAAACAGAACCGAAGTACTTGGGCAACCAATTCTTCGAACCTACCACCATATACACAATGTCCAGATCCTTACGCAACATCCTTCCCACGTGCATCTTATTCTTCAACCATCTCGACTCCGTCACCCTCGCTTACTAATTTCTATCTTCTATCCCCCAGTCTTTGACCTTCTTTTCCAATCAGGAATCCTCCTCTCTTTCCATATCTTCAGAACCCAAACTGGGAGTCGAATTATACGTTGCCTCAAAACACTACAACACGTACAAGTTCCATGAGCGACTACACTTTTCACTAGCCATTTACCTATTGTTTATTTCGCACGAAACGTCTCAACGATCAATATATTTATCTTCTATTACTGTTACACCTACGTTACTTAAAATACCTGCAAGTTCACGTCTCGTTCGGAACTAAATCATCAGTAGCAAAGGACAGGGTGAACGTGATAGAAACTAAAGCAATAAATAAGCCAATGTCCTACGAGTTCAACCCGTTACTGCCAACAGTTAGTTTAAACGCTTGAACTACCCTAGCAAATGTGTACATGCGCGAAACTACGTTTAGTGCATAGCACTGTTTGGTTTGAACCGCGAGCTTGAACCCGACCAGTAGATAGCGCACGACCTGGTGGTCGAGGTTAGACCGTTCGTTCAGACTAAATAAACAAGGCAATGGGTTGTGACTGGCTTGGGGCTGGAACTACAAAGGAATTCTCTGAAAGCGTCAGAAAATACATTAATGATTAATACAGGAACAGAAAAACAGATACAGGAAAAAGCAATCGCACACCTTGACAAAACCAGGCTACAGTTACACCGAATTCGTGAATCACCACTTTACGAAATTGTACGTGAATAGGGAAATTCTATAGCATTTCAAGGATTGATGTCTATCTGTAAATAACACACCCTTAATTCTCAATCGCGGGTGTACATTTAAATAGGAGA